CCTTCTTGCACGGTCACTCAGTTTGTGAGGACGGCCTGATCTAGGCAGATTTAGACATGTGCCATATTCCTTCCATTTCTTGATGATGGGTTTAACTGAACTCCAGGGATGTTCAGTGTCTTGGAAATGTTTTTGTATCCATCCCCTGATTTAGACTTTTCAATAACCTTTTCTCTGAGTTGCTTGGAGTGTTCTTTTGTCTTCATGGTGTAATGGTAGCCAGGAGCACTGATTAACCAGTGACTGGACCTTCCAGACACAGGTGTCTTTATACTAAAATCACTTGAAACACATTCACTGCACTCCGGTGATCCCCATTTCACTAATTGTGAGACTATTAGCACCAGTTGGCTGGACCAGTGTTGAATTAGGTCGTTCATTTTAAAGGGGATGAATATTTATGCAATCACTTATTCCCCATTACATGTTTTTTATTTAATTGACATTACTTTGTAGAAACCTGTTTTCACTTTGACATTAAAGAGGTTTTTTGTAATTTTTTTTGTCAAAAAAGCCAAATTACAGTATATTGACAATGACTGATTTATAAAATCAATAAAAAGGTAAAACATCCCAGGGGGTGAATACTTTTTATAGGCACTGTATACATGGTTGGTAGTCAAGACAAAGAAGAGTCCATGGTTTCCTTTTGAGGAATGCGTCATGCAAACTGCAGCAGAATGGATGAGAAAGAAGCAAAGCGCCTGCTCTCTCATCAACACAAAAGCTGTTTTCTTCAATCAAGCAGTTTTTTTAGGCCATGAAAAACAGGAAAGAGATTCTGTTGCAGCCTTGCATCTATTCAAAGTTCTTGAATTAGATAATTGAGTATATTTTTGTCCTTCAAGCACAGATGTTTGTTTTTAATTAGTTTGTCAGAAGAGAGACCTTTCAACAACCCCTTTCACCATTGTTTCTCTGTTAAGGTAAGTGGCCCAGTAGACGAGGTTGAAGGTTCCGAAGAGGACAGGGAACACTATCCGTGACATCTTGTCTATCTTGCTGACACTATTGTAGGTCTTTTTGGGGTCCGCCATCTTGGTCTCAGAGGCCCGCAGTTGCACCGAGGTCGTGTTGGAGATGGTGGAGATGGACACGTCCTTGGTGAGGTTGGGGGTGTAGTTGACACCTGCCGAGCAAACGTTGTTGGGCTTTTTCGACAGCACCATGGGGTCTCGTTTCTACAGTGGGACAGATTGCAGTGAGCAGTGAATTCATTTAAAGCCCTCTACAGATGCCATTTGCTCTGCTATTACCAATGTTTATGGTCTGAAATAATCAATGTGTTTCATTCTGTCTGGAGTGGTTAGTGATTTTACAGAGGTAAAACATTTCTGGCAAAACATTCTGGTGAAATGCGGGCTGGTCTGTCATCAAATTTCATTGAGGTAGCAGCATGATTCTAACTGGCTGTCTGGCAGTTTGGTTTTTATTTATGATGGCTACAATATGAGGTGGCTGTTTTACTGCAGCTGCTAACAGATACATGACAGTTTTCCTGGACATCTCTGATAATATTTAAGCTAGAAATGTGTATAATAATGAGTGAAGTAATACCATTATCTATATATATGTTAACTATGTAGCAAGAAATACCAGCACATATAAAAGTTTTGGAAAATGTCCAACAGCGTCCAAGCATTTTTAATTTGTAGTTTATGGGTTAAAATGTGAAGCCAAAGAAATGTTCTTTAAAGTATTTTAAGGCATTTGTCCCTATCAGTGTAGCCTAGTGCTCACATGTTGTACCTTGGGGTGCTGTGCTTCCAGGGCCTTCTTGCCATCCCAGGCCCAGCTCCTCTTGGTGAAGTAGTTCACTGTGGCAAACTCGATGAGGGCAGAAAAGACAAAAGCGTAGCAGACGGCAATGAACCAGTCCATGGCTGTAGCGTAGGCCACTTTAGGGAGGGAGTTCCTAGCGCTGATGCTGAGTGTGGTCATGGTCAGCACAGTGGTCACCCCTGGGTGCAAACAAAGGCCATGACAAGTTTAAATTGAGTTTTTACAAGCTGGCTGGAGACAACCTCCCCTCAATCTACAAAGGTGGGTGCTTTAATAACTCTTAACTGCCAGAGTGCTGCTGCTCAGTGGACAGCAGTTATTATTCTCCCTTGTGTGAATGAGCATGACAGGAATTATTATACAGATAAATAAAAAGTAAAAAAAAAGAAAAAAAGAAAAGAATGTAAATAATCAGCTTCACTCACCAAAAACAGTCCTCGCAGGAACTGATTCTCTGTTTAGCCAAAATGACACCTGAGACAGAATTACAGTCATGAAACAGGGCATATATGTCTGGATGACAAAATATCCAATCTTCCTTTTCAGGTAGAAGTGGGCCATCATCACTCTATACTGTCCTGAGGGGAGACAAGGAGATAAAAATGACATAAAAGTTAGACAGGGACAATAAACAAACCAGGCGGTTTGATGTCTGCTTTAAGCTGAGCCACTCCAGGGTAAATACTGTTTCTACATAGGAATATTTAATGTGTGATTTGACCCCTGTACAGTGCTAAATGTACTGGGTTACCAAATAGGAATCCATAATCATTCCTGACCAAATTACTCTTTATGATTCCCTGATGGTGCTCAATCACTGGATAAAACAGGCACAGAAACAGTCACAAACCCATCTCATGCTTATCCCCCATCAAATGTAGCTCTCCTCCTTCCTGCTATTTCAGTAATGAAATAATCAGAGGGGTTGGAACTGCAGGTGGTGAAGGTGGAACAGAGAACTGGGAGCTGGGATGAAGAGAACATTTCATATTCAGCTGAACAAATTAACCTGACTTCAGATCCGTTATTAAACAAAATATGGGCGCCGATCTGCGTTAATTATTACGAAAAATAACATCTGGGATTCGACAATGCAGTGATGACAGTTGCAGATAAAGAAACAAAGTGTAGAAAGAGAAACGGCACTATTTTCAGTTAAACAACTAAAGATTGCATTTGAGGCTTAAAAAAATCATTTGGCCTGCATCAGTTTGTAACTGAAGTTGCTGGTAAACTAAAAGAATCCCATGACTATGTTCCACATACTGTAGCACATGTACACATGCAGCTCTCTCCCTCCCTCCCTCCCTCCCTCACACACACACACTAATACACAAGACTTTCTCCAGGCAAAATCGGATTTTTGAACCTCCCTAATCCCTGGATACAATCTGCATCCTGCCATCAGTGTGAGGACGAGAGGGAGTGAAGTGGGGGTGATGTGGTGGTGGGGGTGAGGCAAGGCTTCCTGTCCTGGGATCTTCAGAGAGCTCTAAAACCCGCCCACTCCACCCTGCCACTGACACATGGCACACATATACGCACTGAAACACACACGAAGGGTGATTTCGAACTGCTGACAGTGACACACACCTCAGCACACAATAAGCCACAGAGAGGGATGCTCCTGCCACTGCTGCTAATCACTGGTGGGATTGGGGGGGTAACTGTGTGGACATTTTCTATCACTACCTTTTTATGGTGTTTCCTAGTCATTCAGCAGCTGTTTGTGGAATAATAATCAAACAGTCTTAATGGGACTGGTTGACCTGGGAAGGGAAGAAGAGGCAGAAATGAACAGTGGGCATCAACTGTTAGCAGCCTGAACGTGAGGTCAGTTTGTTAGCTTTGCAGGCTGAGAGCAGACATCTTATCAACACCACTGCCATGACTATGCCTGGCCCAGGAGATCCCCAACACTGTGGCCCCATCACCTGGGCCCTCTGATGCCCTGATGACTCCTGGCTGTCTGGGTCACAACTACACCGCCGACTCCTACTGCCATCTGAAACATCCAGACGCATCCGAGAGCTGCCAACCTGGCACACCCCAGGGTCGCCTCTGCTCTTGATGCATGGATCCCGCCAGGAATGGGGACAGAGGGATGAGGAGGAACATGTCCCTCAGGTGGATCTTACTGCTTTTTTCCCAAGAATTTGTATTACGTAACGTCAAAGGGGAACTTCCCTTCGTGTCAGGGAACAATGCTGCCATGCTGGTTAACTGGTGAGTAAAAAGAACAGTTTTAACTTTAACAGTCTTGTCTAATAGTCTGAAGGGTGAAAGACGTCCACCTTAGCCCTTCTCCTTTGTTAATTAGTTAAGGTATATTTTATTAGGACGACGTATAGTAATATTGTTTACAATACAAGTCCCTAGAAAATAGTTGGAACTCTTCTATACTCTAGTACGTCTTATCCACTTTTAGAGACTGGGTGTTATTTTAGGAAAGATATTGCTGTCTGAGATGAAGAAGCAATATTGTTAAAGATGTCATGGTGTCAAAAACTTGTCGACTAATCTCCTTCATTTCTTCAAGTGGAGTGTTGACGTGCTCATTAGATACTCACAACATCACAACCATCCAATGAGGTTTCCAGATTTATGTACATTATCAAACTAAATCAATGCAAATTTGATCTGTGGATAGACGAAAGGATGTCCAATGTTTTCGTTGAGGCTGTGCAGCTAAAGCCAGTTGTTACTGCTAAGAGTAACAACACAGGCAAGCCCAGATAATCGTTACTTGTCAGCGGTTTTGAATTTTAGGTTGACAAGTGCTTCATTACGTTGTCTAGACCCAATCAACCAGCAGGTGACTGCCAGTCCTACTTTAATCAAGCAGGAAAACAGTTAACTCCATGTTATATCTTTCTTTCTGTCTCTATCTGTGCCTGTCTTCTATCAGAACAAAGACTCCTCAGACTTCTCCATACAAAAATATCAAATACTGCAGGACCATGCAACAGAAAGAACTGTCAGACAACATTGCTAAATTGTAGAAAAAGAGCTTCAGGTTATGGTAATACACCATTTAAAGCATGCTGATATTGAAGACTAAGAAGAAAATGCACGATGCTGTTCTGCCACATCTGAAAGTGTCATATTTGGTCTTTGGAAATTATTATCCAGACAGTCACAGACATACACAAAGTAAATTAACCGGCCAGACTGAATGTGACCCTTGAGCTCAAACTCCTCAGCAGTCTCCACCACTGATTTGGATGGTTTCCAAGAGACAAGCTCTAAGCTGCATGAATGATGACTTCCTGCCTTTATTCCTGCTTCGAGTTCAAGTTATGGTTAGCATTTAATCAGGGCACCAGATGGCAGTTTGACAATTTAGGACAAACAAGGTAATGTCAAGTAAACAGCCAGACATGCAAATACATAACTGAAGATCGGTTAAGTGTCAAGAGAGGATAAAATATTATGTCTGATCTCCAGGGCACAGCTTTAATTTACAGTGTATTCTGGATTTATATAACAGAAAACTACAAAATAATTAATAGGATTTTACAGTGTACTCTAAGGAAAGCTGTGCAAAACCCTGAGTTTGTTCAACATTTTTGTCATTTTTCAATGTATCAGTGTTGCATTCTTTTTTAAACTGGTGTTGTAAGGTCCTGCTTTTAGCTAATTAATATTTACTGCTCAGATAAATAGTTTTCAGTAAACAGTTTCAGAATGTCCTTAGATTTCATGCTGTACTTGTGGAAAATGTAGTTCAGCATCCCTAGGTTGGTTGTCCTATTGCTGATTGTATTCATAGTCAACTGCAGCAACCCATAATTAAAAACAAACAGTATGTCAGTATCAGAGATGTCTGCCAGGCTGCTAACTAGCAAGCTGGTCGGCATGCCAACCAATCAGCCACCCAGCCAGCGAACCACCAGTTACACATGCAGTCCGCCCCAACCAACAAAACTTTTACAGTAATCCGCTGAAAAAACTGGCTCAGCCAGCAAAAGTGAGGTTTCAGTCATGGGACATGGATGAAAAAAAAAACAGGGGAAATCCACACTTTTAATAATGATTCAACCACAAACTGGGAGGAAGCGCATTACAGTTCTACTTTACATAAGAGCATTAAGCAGATGCCTTTCAACGCCCCCACCCCACGTGTCAGAGCGAGCTTGTCCAATCCCAACAAACTAACAGTCACACACATTTCTTTTTCTAACTTTGTGAGGACCAAATTAAATTTGAAGTAAAACCATCTCCATTATGGTAAATTTTAGGATGAAACACCTCCAATCACAGACCCATAAAATCAGTCTTACTTTATGTTTCTCCATGACTGTAACCCATAGTCTAAAAATAACCATGAACTGACCGGGTCAGTCTGTGCATCATTATGAGGACAGCTGTGCAAAGATGAAATGTACAAGAGCACATGCCAAACACACAGGCAGCCGAGCAATCCTTCACTGATCTGTGAGGTCACCTTCTTATGCAAAAGCTGATGGGTGGTTGGATGGGAGGGGATTAACTCTAGGTCTCAGGTCTCTCTCTATGTGTGTACGCATGCATGGGCTCATGCCGGGATAAGTGTTGTTTGACGGGCCTGTCCAGGCCTGTGGACAGCTGGCTGTGTGAGGGACAGGCTACTCTCGTCCACTAGCCTCCACTCATTCACTGCGATCCCACATTTACTATCTGCCTTGCAGTGATTATCTTTTCTAATCTACAATTTGCTACATTGTGGTATTTGATATGACACTTTTGTAAAATAGGTGGAATTTGGTATTACACTCGTCCTTTGTGAGTGATTTAATTTATACTATGAAATTTCTCACAAGAAAGGTGAAGAATAAGGGTAGTTAAACAGAACAAGGATAAGTATGCAGGTAGTAGCAGAGACGTTCGGAAGATTTGGAATCTTTCTGCTGGAGGTTCCTTAGTTAATTAAAAAAGATTTAGTAACTAACAGGGCTTTGCTGTGTTGAGTCAGGACTTCATCTTTGCCTTGTAAACCCACTAACTTGTTAGGGGATTACTTTACATAATGCATAATGTATTTCATATTATAGTTTAAAAAGGTTAAAAGGTAATGTGTTATTCTGTATCTTTCTCGCTGTCAACAAACCCCTCAGCTCCAAGCACATTTTTTACAAGTGAAGATGTAAAAGCAACTTTTAATATAACATTTTGAGATTGTTGAAGGGGTCACAAATATATAGTTTTATCTTAAAAAATGTTAAGGCTTTCTTTTCAAACACCTGGCAACTGTGGGGTTTGTTACGACAGGTTATTCTGAGAATGTTGGAAACTATTGCATTTACAGTGGTGGATTAATAAGCGCCAATGAGTAGTTATGGCCAAATAAGCTGCATTAATGAGGGAACATTTTACCTCGATCAAAGGTGATGTGGTTTAAACAGAGGTCATGGACCTGTTGCACCACAACTCTTTGTACTGTAAATTCAAACTTGGCCTAGTTACAAGAGAAGTGTTTGCTAAGTACAATAGCAAATAGTACTAATTAGCAGTTCAATTTAAGGTACTGTTTGGCGTTACATTAACCATTCCAGTGTACTGTGTATGCTACATCTTGTTAAACAGTAGCCGTCTGCTGGCACGTGATCTACTCTTTATTTCTCTTGCATCACTTGTGCATTTACATTCATCAAAAGGTTTCTACAGTATCCTCTGGGAATAAGTTGTACTGCTTCTCCTACTTCTGTTACTGCTATCTTATTATTTTATTCCTACACTTACTACTACTACTACTACAGTACTATTATTATATTATTGGACTGCTATTTCCATTTCTTTGTTTTAGCTTTGATTAGTTATCGTTCTGCATTCCCTTTTAGTTCTTTTTTTGTGCATTCAAGTCACTTTCAGCTTTTCCCGTTGATGGGTCGCCACAGCGAATCGTCACACTGACGACTCGCAAGTTGACACTTGGCACGTGTTTTACGCCGGATGCCCTTCCTGATGCAACCCTGACTTGAACCTGGGCCGCAGCGGGGAGAGCACTGCGCCTTAACCACTAGTCTACCAGGGACAAGTGTGTTCTCATAAACGCACAGACCTCTGCTGGTGTTTATGTTTTTTGTGCCAGCAGTCAGCCCAATAAGATGGTACTGGTTGAGTCTGGAGCCGTCCTCTGCCACCACCACAGGCTTAGGAACTCCCTGAGTCCAAATGTAGACCACCTCTGACACTGGATAGGCATCTGAGAGAGAGAAAGATGATTTTACCTTTTAGCTTGCAAATGTTTTAATGTATTCATTTTTAATACAGGAGTATCCAAAATGCAAAGGAAAGCTTCCCTCTTTGTTTTAACCACAGTAGATTAGTAATACATTCCATTTTCAACCCAGTCATCACTGATAATATGTGTAGCTGCCCATGTGCTTGTGTGTGTACTGAATGAACTGCTGATGGACAGTCGTGATTTGACCGCAGGCTTAAAGCGAAAAACAAAATTTCACTTGCATGAGTGTGGGTGGATATTTGAGTGTACTTTTGTATAAACCACACCTCTGGGTCAGAGATGAGTTTCCCTGTCAGCAGGAGCCAGCCTGAGTCAGACTAACCGTAATGTGTTGTATCACATTAAAAATCTGAGCGCCGACTCCGAAGTTGCTCCTGCTATTTCATTTATTCATGCTGAATCCTGCACAAATACAGGACCTCAATCTATTTGCTCCTCTCTAAAATATGAAAAGATGAAAGAGAGGGATTCTTCTCTGATTATTAGAAGAGATGATTATTAGTTTAGGTAATGTATTCTCTGGTAACCTGCGTCCAAAACAGCCTTATATCCAAGTGTTTTTGCAAGTAGAACTGGCACAAGTGAAACAAGTCTTCATGGGTGAGAACATCGAAAAAGCAGGCACTGAAAATTCTGCTGTCTAGTGAACAATTGTGTACATTAAATATCTACAAACAGAGGACAGAACAAGCCAACACAGCATAAAAACATTTAAATGTTACCAACTAATTTGCTGACTGTTATAAGGACAAATTAAACTCCTAGCTTGGCCTTATGTAACAAGGTTAAGCACTGTTTATTTCCGGCCACAGGATAACATCTTAACCTGAATATTTCTATCCTGGGTGCTTACTTTGCAACTAGTGCTGTACAAGGTACAGTATATAGTGTTTAAAATTGGGCACTGTCGAGCCCAAGGCCAGGACTGTAATTGGAGGGCAGTTAAACTGGAATAAGGGATTATTGGTGACTTTCATTATGCAGAGGAAGAGCTAAAGACTTTGGCAGGCAAGACGGTGCACTTATGCCAACTTTTCAACAGTTCACGCTTAACGCTTTGCTGCTCCCGCCTTGTGTGTGAGGAAATGGGAGCTACAACTCAGCCAAATTCATCACTTACTACACAGTAGCTCTGTGCACTCTGAAATATTACAGGAACACAGAAGATTTCACAGCACTGAATTTTTTTTTTTCCCTAAACCACAAATTTGGCCACTTTGTGATCAATCACCTCGGTGGCTCTGATGACTCAGACCATATATTATTGTTTTCCTACTGCTTGGGAGACCAGGTTTTGTGCGGTTCACACTATTATCTGCAAAACAGTTTTCCTTCAGCAACTGTTCTGTCTGTATGAGTTCATTTTAACCTGTGGCCTTTTACTGATTGTCAGTTTTACAGCTTTTGTGTCTGATGCACCAACAATTCCAATGCTTGTTTTGTGCCTCTGCAAATTGATATGTTGTGGTCAACTCCAACTCTAAGGTGAATGGTAAAATAAGACAGTGTAGCACTTTTAGCTTGTTTAAAAGAAAACAATTGCATCTTAAATGAAATGCTACACATCACTGGCCACAACATTAACTGAACACCATAGAGGATTAGGCGGGAGCAGCAACTCTTCAGTGTATACCTGGGAACTGTATGGATGACAGCCAGCAGCTAAATTAGGATGTGGGCACTGTAGACAAGAACAAGGAATTAGTTGCCCTTTACCTGGGCTAACTTTAGAGCATGCCTTCGTGTTTTAATTGCCACAATAAATCACTACTGTGTCACCAGTGGGTGGATACAAGGCTATGATTCACTTCATAAATGTAGGCAATACCTATATTAGCTTTGTTGTAGTAATGAGAGCAAAGGTCCAGAACATTTGTTACATGGTTTGTAAAGATGCAGTGTTGTCATATTGTGATCAACACATCATTCCTTTTATACACTTACAGTACACCCCTAACCTGCTGGGCATTGGACTGGGGAAATTAAGACTTTGCCTTGGGAAGACCTAGCAGCTCCATACACTAACTGGATTGCAGTCAAATGGGTGTCTCTCAGAGGGAGTGTGGGTGCAGTGCATCTCACAGAGATCTGGGGATAAGAGCCTCATACTTTTAGCCCAAGAGGCTCAGAATGCGTGACATTTACTCAGAGCCGTCTTAAAATAACCACAGGCCCATTTATGTATCTATACATATCCTCAATGGGAGGACAAACAGACAAGCTGTCCCAGTGAAAAAAGGCACTGGTCTTCTTCTGATCATGGACCTAATTAAGTGTTAGAGAACTTGCAGTAATCTTCTATATTTTTTCTCTTGACCAAGGTTTTTAAACTCGACAGTTGTTGTTCAACTGAGGACCATTAAGTAAACCATATTACCCAGAAACATAAACAGATTAGGTCTTTCCTGCTGTTGTCTACATAGACATCTACTTTAACTCATATATTTCTGGCTTTGACTGATAAACTGAATGTGCTAAGTCACAGGTAGCATCACACGTTGCTTATCAGAATAGTATAATGATTGAAAATATTTTAACGTATGAGAAAAAAACACGTTTTTCATCTTACAAAATAAAAGTTGATGTTTTAAAATAATAAAACACACCATGTCTGTCATGATCAATAGTTTGTGGTGGCTAATGTTAGCAAATTATTGGGTCTATAAGGCCCATTATTTAGACAGTTCATCAACTCTATCACTTTTGTTTACTTGTACTACAGTAGACTAGCACTTTAGCTAAATGCTACTTAGTGATTTAGTATTTAGCATTACACCATAATTGTCAGTTGTACAGTAGCAGCAGTGGCAACTGTTCAGTAGAAGTTACACAGTCTTTCTTTAAATGTGAACGTGACATAAGGGAAGTAAACTCAGCAATCTACTAGATAATGACTATATATATCAAAGAAGCAATGCATTAATTACCCAGTAACGCCCAAACCGATCTTTTATTGTTTTCCAACTCTCAATTAAACTTTGTATTTCTTTGCTGCTTCTGTGTCAACATTAGTACTGTGTAGTATATCATAATGGCTGTGATTAGTTTATATAAAGAATAAAATAAATATAAAAATAGATATGAGTTTACTCACAGCTGCCAAACTTGAGAGGGCAGGCATGTGCATCCATGGGGAAATCCTCCAGCTGCATGGGGCATTCTGCTGATATGGTCAGTCTAAGACAAGACATGCAATGCAGTAACCATGGAACAGTCTCACTTTAGCATGTAATAATAGTTTAAACAATAGTAGTAGTTTTATATACATTTGCTTACAGTATAAGGGGCCTATAAGCTGTAATGAATGGTTTTATTGATTGTTAATGAATTATTTACTAATGCTTTGTAGATCAGTTTTAAGCAAAATACTCCACATTCATGCACATCACTTGCAGGTACATCTTTTCCCTCTCTCAGCAACACTAGCATTGAAGTGACAATACTACCACCTGGTGGTCACAGCATTTCTGCTATTTGTCTCTGTTAAAGAAAACAAAAGCTCATGCAAGTCGATCACTTATCAATTCATTTAGATATGAATATTTAATTTTAAACCTCTGTCTTATAATGACCATCTTCTAAATTGTTGAGGACTTGAAGTGAACTCTACTCCTGCTTCCTTTAGATTCATTCAGTGCATCTATTCAAACCATTTACACACACAATAGCTGTTCCTAACCTCATTTTCAGATTTTTTGTTCTGTTCATTCAGTCAAGATTGAAAACATGTCATTATCATTTTAGTCCCCATGACGCTAGCTCTGTGTCCTAAAGGAACCACAACATCATGGAAATCAGGCACACACACATGCACACACACCATAATTACATTTCTTTTCTAGCTACCTGCCCTAGACTGAATCATGCTAATAGCCACTAATAGCCTGCTAATTGCAGGATGATAAATAGGGATACAAAGATATGATGATGTGGAATCACTGAACTTAATGGGTTGGATAAATGAAAGTTAAGTGGCATGGAAACCAGTTCACAAGAACACATGTTAAAGATTTCTCTAGCATAGGCTTTTGTTTCTACTTTAAGCACTAAGGCACAATCACAACATTCCGCACTAGTAACAGAATAACTGTTGTGATATTATACTGTAATCTCTATGACAACTGTGTTTTAAAGCATTCCCAATTATTTTAGTAAGGCAAATGAAGCATAACAAAGTGGGATAAGAGGACACCTCCCTGCAGAGACCACAGGGGCACAGCTTGCTTTCCACATCCATGCAGGCTTATGCAAATACATTACATGTCAAAAACAAGTGAAGGATTTTGTACGGCAGAA